TTCTTCAAATTTGTCTGGGTTAAAGGTAATCCTGACACTGCATTGTCAACCCCCCCTCTTCTCTCTCTCTCTCTCTCTCTCTCTCTCTCTCTCTCTCTCTCTCTCTCTCTCTCTCTCTCTCTCTCTCTCTCTCTCTCTCTCTCTCTCTCTCTCTCTCTAGTAAACCTCGCCCCTTCTTCTTCTGCCAAAGAGAGCTTACATTTTCTTGTCGAGTTTCGCCACACAAGCAACGGCCCAACTTAGAATGAAAATAAAGCCGAAATGAAGAAGGAAGCATGAACTTACAAAAAGAAAGAGAAAGGAAACTAGGTTTCTGCAACATTTTCTTTGCATTATTTCCTTTAACTTTTGTTTCATAATCTCATTTCTTTCACTATTTTTTTTTTACCACAACATTTGTAAGAACATGTTGTGCCCTCCCCCCTTTTCTATCTTCCCCATTCCCCCGCTCCCTCCCCCCCTCTTCCCTACTGCTTATGCCTTCTTACCCCCTCTCCCCTTCCCCCTCCCCTCTTCCTCACTCCCTATGCCTACTTATTCCCGCTGGAGAGAAATGACGAGCTCTCGCCATGCTAAATGAGGCAGGTTCAATTTGTGGCGAAGGGCGCTTGATTTGCCTACGGTTGAGGGGGGGAGGCGAAGCATGGTCTTGACAGAACTTATGGTCTTCATCAATTACGTCTTTTTCTCTGTCCTCTCTCTCTCTCTCTCTCTCTCTCTCTCTCTCTCTCTCTCTCTCTCTCTCTCTCTCTCTCTCTCTCTCTCTCTCTCTCTCTCTCTCTCTCTCTCTCTCTCTCTCTCTCTCTGTATCCCCTTTGTGCATCTGCCTATCTGCCAGTCCATCTAACCACACACACACACACACACACACACACACACACACACACACACACACACACACACACACACACACACACACACACACACACACACACACTCACTTACACTCACAAAAACCCACACACATTCACATACACACATACAGCCACGGATACTTGTATCGGTGAACAATCAGGTTTCATATTAGAAGGAAACCCTGCGGCCGGAGTTGTCAAGAAGAATAAATCAATGATCTCCGACATTTCTGCACCCTAGTTACCGCCTTATAAATTTTCCAATTCCCGTCCTCCTCCTCTCTCCCTCTTTTTCTATTTTCGTCTGACTCAATTTTGCTCTTTCCTTTTCCCCTGTTTCCTTTACTATTCTCCTCCCATCCAATTTCCACTTTTTCACCTCACAATCTCTAACCAGCTCTCGCTCTCCTCTAGAATCTCCTATCTCCATTTTACTAATTTTTTTTCTCCTTTTTTTTCTTTACTTCCTTCATCTTCCTAGAATCTACATGGGAATCTCCTCCAACTTTCTTGTTCTCTTCCCCCTTCCCCTCTCTCCCCTCTCTTCGTAGCGAAAACCCGACTGTTTCCCCTCAGTACCGCGAAGCCAACTCTCACGCAACTCGGGAAGCACAACCTGCCTTCACCTTGCTTCCTGGACATCGCTAATGAATATGAAATAAAGACATCGAGTGACTTCGAGCACGCGGAGGAGGAGAAAAAAAAGGTATTGTGGTTTCAGTCTCTGGATTTTTGGCGCTGTAAACTCGAGAATAAATAACACAACCCTTGGGATAATTCGGTTACGAAGTTGTGCACACACTTACAAGGGGGAGAAGGGAAAAAAGGAAAGAGAGCGAGCGAGCGAGCGAGAGAGAGAGAGAGAGAGAGAGAGAGAGAGAGAGAGAGAGAGAGAGAGAGAGAGAGAGAGAGAGAGAGAGAGAGAGAGAGAGAGGGGGGGGGGGGAATGGGAGAGGGAAAGGGAGAGGGGAGAAGGAGAAGAAGGAGAGGGAGAGAGAGAGAGAGAGAGAGAGAGAGAGAGAGAGAGAGAGAGAGAGAGAGAGAGAGAGAGAGAGAGAGAGAGAGAGAGAGAGAGAGAGAGAGAGAGAGAGAGAGAGAGAGAGAGAGAGGGAGAGGGAGAGGGAGAGGGAGAGGGAGAGGGAGAGGGAGAGGGAGAGGGAGAGGGAGAGGGAGAGGGAGAGGGAAGGGAGAGAGAGATGGCAAGGGGAAGAGAAAGAGAGAGAGAGAGGGAAAGAGAGATGTCAAGGGGAAGAGAAAGAGAGATGGATGGGAGACAGAGACAAGGAGACAGGTAGAAAGGGTAGAATGAATGAAAAGGACAAACAGGGAAGGACTGCTCGTCAGCTAAACCGCCATGAATCCCCAAACCCCAACACAAGAAAAGCAAAGTCATACTCACACTGCACGTCCAGCTGGACAGAAGCAAGCAGGGGCTTCTCCGTCAGTTTGTTTCTCACTTCGCACGTGAAAATGGCGCCATTATCCGCCGAATCCACGATGAATTTGTATTCGTTGACGCTCTCGGCGCCGATCGGGCGGTCGGTCGTGTCGATGATCTCGTTGTTGCGGTACCAGACGACGCGGCCGAGGGGGTTCCCTCCCCGCGACCGGCACGACAGGGTCCGCTCCTCGCCCGCGCGGATGGT